CCTAGCAGCCTCAAAGAGTTCTCCTCAAGGCTCAGCACCTGCTTCAACTGGCCTTGATACTAGATTGCCAAACCCCCAGGCAGAAGGCAGCTTACTTCAGTGAGCAGCATGCACTGAAGCCTGCGCTGTGGTGGCTGGATTGCCCCTAGTCCACACAGACCTGCACTTGTGCAGCAGTTTGCCTTTGAACTCATTGAGGCCAGCATTGCTCAACATGTCGTTTGTGGGCCAGTGCCACTCTGGGAGGCATGAAAAGGTGTCGTGGTTTAAACCCAGTCAGGCAACTCGTTCACTCACTCCCCCCCTTCTTTCCCTCCCCCTAGTCTCAGAGGGACGGAGAGGAGAATCGAAAAGAATGCAACTCCCACGGGTTGAGATAAGAACGGTTTAGTAACTAGGGTATAACAGAAATCACTACTGCTACCACCAGTGATAATAATGATAAAGGAAATAACAAGGGAAGAGAATACAACATCTCACACCAGCTGACTGATAACTCGCCCCCCCCCCCCCCCAGCCCGACCAAGCACCGACCGATACCTCCTCCAACCCTGCAGTCTCCCAGCCCTTCCGGCTAACTCCCAGTTACATCCTGGGCATGACGTGCTGTGGTATGGAATACCTCTTTGGTCAGTTTGGGTCAGGTGTCCTGTCTCTGCTTCCTTCCAGCTTCCCCTCCTCCCTGGCAGAGCATGAGGCTCACAAAGTCGTTGGCCAAGCCAAAACATCATTGTTATCAGCTCTGATCCCAGGCCGAAAGTCAAAACACTGCACTGCACCAGCTACCAAGAAGGAGAAAAATGGCTGTTACTGCTGAACCCAGGACAAAAGGTGATCCCAAAAGTGGTTGCTGGATGCTGATTGTTCCTAGTTCATGGAGTAGGGGTCTGTTGTATTTTGTTTGCAGTATTAACTATAGATTGCATGTTTGCAATTATAGCATAGTACAGATTTAGTAAACAGGAGCATTAGGTAGAATTAATCTGTCCTAATTTAGGGATTCAAAAATTACATGGCTAAAGCAGACATTTCGAAAGGCTGAAGTGTACCTTTTAAGTAAGTCAGAAGGAGAAATTTTGGCATTTTGGTGATATATTTTGTCAGGTAAAGCTTGCAGTGCTCTTGGTTCATCTGAATTCATTCTCATTAGGACCCATTATCAAAGCTGTCTGAGAGTGCATGGAGCAAAAAAAACCCACGTTTATTATGTACAAAGTTGGCACTGTTTGTATAAAAGTTCACTCATAGCTCCTGCTAAAAAAAAAAAAAGCTGGAATTTGATGTTATTTCTCACTAAAACACTTAAATTCACAAAAGAACCTGCTGTTTAAACAGAAAGAAACCGACTTTTAAAAAACAATTTCTTCCTGCACTTGTTTCCTTAAATGGGAAAACAGCTTATGACTCTGTACTGTCACATTAGAACTTGAATTTGTATGCTAGATACTAATAAATGCCATTTCACCTGCATTTTTGTGGTTAATGGCTCTGCTTCAGACATCAATTCTTCATACATTTTCTGCATCAATTCTTCATACATTTTATGGTCCTGCACAACCCCTGAAGTAGATTACCACAGATAAAGGCCAAACAAAATAAATGGCATCAGATCTTCTGAAAGCTCTATGTTTATATCTCTCACCAAAACTGGCAAACTTCTGACACATAGTCTTCCCACACCTCTTGTTAATGTAACATCTTCTGTTATTGTTTTCATGTCTGGCCCTTCATAACATTTTGTGCCTCATTCACACAAAATAAGGTTAATTGAGCAGGATTTGCTTTGTCTGATAAAAACAGAAGTTTGGGGATCAGAAAGATGGGGATATCTTGCTCAAGTGAGTGATAAAAGCACAACAGATGTCTTATCGATGGTGAATACACAGGCTATTTTAATCCGTTAAAGAAAATGCTTGCTGATCAGTAGTTGTACATAGCCACAGTGTGCAGCACAGAAATACAAGTTGTGGTTTCAAGCTTGTTTTATCTACACCTATCTACAAAGTTAATTTAATTTTTACAAGGGTGCTGTCTATACTCCAGTCTGGGCCTTCCCCTGTGTCTGCGGTGTCTATGCTAGGCCAGAATGCTCAGAAGGCTTCTAGAGAAACTTGCACACAGTAGAAAGTTGGCAGGGAAAGGTGTTAAAGGATTTCCTTGTTTCCATTAAGTTAAAGGAAAGACTACTAATAAAAGAAAGAGACTTTTGATGTTTTCAGATCTGAAATTCAGTTGCGTGTTAATGAGCAGACTACTTCATAGTGACATGACACAGAGCTAGATTGTGGATAGATATTGGATGGGAGTGTGCAAGAGGGGCTGAGAGAGACACATCTCCTGATAAAGAGAATTTGAAGCCTAATTAAAAAATCTTTCACTGTCCCTTTCAGAGCAAGTTTAAATCAGAAAGCCAGGCTGTGCAAAGGGGAACTCTGGACTGTCTCCAGGATGGACTCAATCTGTAGTAGAGTGAGGAAGAAAATGATGCAGGAAGGCATACACAGAATTTTTGGACTTTTTGTGGGGGAGGAAGGGGGAAGAGGGGAAGCATATAGATTCCATACCTCTTCTATTCTCTAAAATAGCAAGTCACAATATAAGAAATCATTTGCAGACTTTCTGTCATTTGCTTCAAGTCACGAAGTATCTCCCAGAAATTTATAGCCTAAGAAAAGACAAGATGTAAGATGGGCTTTGGGGGTTCTTGGATGCTAAAGCTTAAATTTCCTTTAGGAAAAATGGTGCCAACAATCATTTACATAATGAGTAAGATTAGAAAGGAGACAATACATTGAAAGAGACTGTGGGTCCTACCACAACCGGCTGATGACTGATAGAAGGGAAGTTGATCAATGTTGTGACAAGAAAAGTCATTTTCTCACTGCCCCTCTCACTAAACCCTAATGTTTAGTAGCTTTGCAGAAATGAATTGCTTAAAGTAGCAATTCAGTCAGCAATTACTACTGTTGCTGGTGAGTCAGTTTTGCTACTTTTATTGTTTCTTATTATTGCTACTACTAGCATTGGTTAGGCATCTTAAGAGTACCTGCTTATCACAAGGAAAACAGAGGACGGTGTGTAAAGGGACATGAATGGATGGAAGATGGACGGGCATTTCTGTTCCAGACCTGGTGCACGCAGTATTCCTTCTGTCTGAAGCCTTGCCAGCTTCACCTGCTCTTCACTGTATTCCTATGTATACATCCTGACATGACTTTTATCACAGACAGCTTTTTAAAGAAAAATTATGTTCAGCCTGTGATAAAGTTGCCTAATGCTTTTCTCCAGAACTACTAAGCCAGTGGGTCCATGTCCTATATTTCTGTAGATAATGATTTCAATTAGGTGTTCTTTAGGAATTTCAGGCTAATTTTTCAGTTTGTGGACATCCAGCATACTTGTATAGCTCTCCTCTTTTGTGTCTTTAGCCAATTAAATAAGCATCCTTTCTGTTTCTTCATAAAAGCTGATAATGAAAATATCAAACAGCATTATATTAGAACAGACTTTCATATATCTCCATTCAATAGAGCCTTCAGGCTGATAGTAAACCATTATTAACTACTCTGTGCAAACATTTTGGGCCACTTTTTTTGCTTACTCTACAGTAATTGCATCTAGTCTCTGGCTGTGTCTACATTCATGATCTTCTTTGGAGGATCAGTGTATCTTTGGCCTGTTTATGTGTGGTTTGGTTTTATGGAGGTTTTGGAGTGTGTGACCTAGACACCTTGGAGATGAAACTCACTGAATTTTGTCTCCAGGTATATACTGAAAACTCTGCAATTCCCAGCAAAGACTGGCGGGGCCCAAACTAGTGGTTGGTTTTTTAGGTGTCTTTGAACACAGGGCTCTAGTTGTGCCTGCTACTGTTGTGCCAAATTACTTGCTCTGTAGACATGTTTTCCAAGCTTGCTAATGAGACTCTCACATAAGACAACTTTGAGAGGCCTATTAAAGTAAAACTCACTTTAGCTTGATTCTGATTCCACAATTGTGCTACAGTTACAGAATGCCATTGCTTTAATGTTTTCTCTAATGTATGAAAGCTCTAATGTGATTTGTAACTGACTAAAGGGTTATATATATACAAATGCCTAAGCAGCCTCTTGATATGTCATGGGAATTACAAATTGTCACATCAGTCAGAATTTTGTGAAGCAGCATTATAGTCTTTCTCTCTGAAAACTGCCAATTTGATCATAGTACTTGTCAAAACTGATGTTTTTTCCCTTGGTTTACTTTTCTTTGTCCATTTTACAATCAGGCAAAGAATATGTCTAGTAGGACAGATCTTTTATCTGTATTGCTCCCTGAGAAAGACTGTTGCTTGTGGGATGTCCATTGCCAGCTTTTTGTAGGAAATTATGTTAGTTGCTCATAGTTGCTGCTAATGAAATGAATTGTGTTACCTTCTAACTAGCAGGAGTCTCTGTAAAATTCTTCATGAAGTTTGTTTTTCCAGGGCAAAGAGACAAAATGTGCAAGTGGGGGAGACGACTGAGACAAATTTCCTCCCCCTGCCCTCAATGAAAGCTTGATGTTAGGAATTATCAGGTTTTTTTAAACAGGGAGTCTCTTGAAGCAGCAAAACTGGGATTGTGAAAGTTTGATTAGCTTGAGCTGAGCACAGACCCAGATACTGGGTCCAGTTCTCTTCTAGCATAAACAGCTAAAGCCCCCTTCCTAGAGACTGTGCCAATTTACCCTAGTTATGCTTTCTTCATGGCACTTCCAAATGTCTTGCCTGACTGCAAACTTTTGCTTTATTCTCTGACTCTTTGACATTCTAAGGGCTGTATATTTTCTTAGTGGTATTTCCTAAAAGATTAAGTGCCTGAAAATTTTTGATACATTTCTCACACTCTCTGCTTTTGGGTCTAATTCTCCTCCTAAAGCTTTTTGTCAATCTGAAATAATGCATGACAGTAATGGCAGTGCCTTTAGTGAAAGCCAGAGGAGACTCAGGCCCCACATATTTTTGTTATTTATATACCCAGAAGTTCCTGCTCCTGATAGCAATTGCAGGAGTATCAGCACCAGTAGTGGCTAGAGCAGCAGACAGAGTTATCATTCCTTGTCATCACTTGGGTAAATCAAGAAGCCCTCCTCAAACATACCAAAGGCTGTTGTTTCTTGTCAGTTGCATGGCATGCAGGTAAGTCCTTTAGCTCAGCCTCGCGCTTGATGTGATTGGGTTAAGGCAAAGTGAAGGTCCATCCAGGTGGTTTGTATTCTAAGTGCTGTGACAAGAGGGCTCTGTGCACAGATGAGGCCAGAACTTCAGATGGTAGCTACAATGGTAAAGCACATGATTGATAGAGTTATTTAGTAAGAACTGTAATCATCCTGGGGACCAAAGGAGAGCCTGCAGCTGGAGACTTCCCTACAGCAACTAATGAGCTGTCTGTGGTGTCTTTCAGAATAACTTTGATATAAGAACAGCTGAGACTATTGAAACTGGTCTTCTTAGGTTTCTTCAAGGGGGTATTACTGATTTAATCACTTGACTGGCCTCTGCATCATATCATTGATTTTTATGATGAAGGCCTTAATTAAGACTAATGCCTGTCAGTGCATGAAGCAGTCACTTTCTCCGTCTCTTTTCTGGGGATCTTTCGGCTTCAGGAAGTGAAGTGACAAGCAACAAAAAGCTCATTTTGTACAGTTTTTGGTGAGTTGTGTGGGACAGTCAAAAGGGAACAAATACTTTCGAGAAAGCTTCGAATGTGTATAAGTGGATCGCTGGTTATCATCCAATGGGTAAACAAGTCATCTCCTTTGTAACATTTGAATTTTTTCAATTGCTCATTGTTGCTTGTGGCTATGGTTCCCAGGACTTTGTGACCATAAGTCTTCTTGTGAAAACACTGACTTCTACTTTGATTTATGTAAGATGTGTTAGGATATGTTAAGATATGGCAAACAAATCTCAGACTAGACCAGTTTGCAAAAGACATCTTAATGTAATCAGGAATGAATATCTGCAGGAATAGCCACATCTAAATCCTGCTGACTCAGACTACTTTCCATGTATCAGCCTGCAAGGTTCTTTGCTGGTTTAATCTGTAGACAGCTATAGTCTCTCTGGTCCATAATGTCTTAAAAACAAATCTTTTAATCAGCACTTCAGATATCTCCAGAAATGTCAGTTTTTAACGTAGGAGAATCTTCATGTAAAAGATCTTGTATTTCCTAGTTTTGTCTGTAATTTCTTATGTTCACAGTGTTGCAGCATGAAGCCATTTGTCCTGATTGCTCAGTCGGTCTCCAAAATGAAATAACAAATTATGAAATGATGCAGAAAACCTGCCTGTAGCTGGTACCTTGCTATTATTTTCACTTCTTCAGCAGTAAGGACTGTGCCACACCTTTAAGTATTTCATTTCATTTATACCATGGTTGACTGGTGATCATTGGGCTCTTGCCATCATTTGAGTGGTTTAACTAAAAAATTTCATCCTAACCAAGAGATTTGTGTCCTTTTGTATGCCGACTAAACACACACTAAGACACCGTATCAAGTAATCATGAACTATCATATATCTTTATAGTCATAACCATTTAGTGTGTTATGAGAAATATAAGAGAAGGCGCTTCATCAAAATTACCAAGACTTGTGGTTAACTGAGGAAGCTCTGATTATTATCCTCAAGATACAGGTCACTCCTGAAATACTCAGGTAAAATCTGCTGCTTGAAATCTGATGGGAATCCCAGCCTCCTCCATCTGGAATTTAAAGCATAATACAGTCCCACGATCTTCATACAGCAGTGGGCAGCAACATGGTGATAAGCTCTACATGAAACCATGGGGCCTGATGAAATCCATCCACAGGTACTGAAAGAGCTGGCAAATGAAGTTGCGAAGCCACTGGCCAACATATTTGAGAAATCATGGCAGTCAGGTGAAGTTCCCAAGGACTGGAAAAAGGGAAATATAACCCCCATTTTCAAGAAGGGGAAAATGGATGATGCAGGGAATTACAGACCAGTCAGTCTCACCTCTGTGCCTGGCAAAATCTTGGAGCAGATTCTCCTGGATGGCATGCTAAGGCACATGAAAATCAACAAGGTGCTTGGTGACAGCCAGCATGGCTTCACTAAGGGGAAACCCTGCCTGACCTATTTGGTGGCCTTCTATGATGGGGCAAAGTGTTTGACACTGTCCCACATGACATCCTTGTCTCTAAATTGGAGAGACATCAACTTGATAGGTGGGCCACTGGGTGGATAAAGAACTGGCTGGGTGGCTGCATGCAAAGAGTTGTGGTCAATGGCTCAATGTCTGGCTGGAGACCAGTAATGAGTGGTGTCCCTCAAGAATCAGTGTTGGGACTGGTTTTGTTCAACCTCTTTGTCAGTGACATGGACAGTGGGATTGAGTGCACCCTCAGAGTGACTGTAGTGACAGGACTCTTCATTAGGGACTGTAGTGACAGGACAAGAGGTAACGGGTTAAAACTTAAACAGGGGAAGTTTAGGTTGGATATAAGAAGGAAATTCTTTACTGTGAGGGTGGTGAGGCACTGGAATGGGTTGCCCAGGGAAGTTGTGAATGCTCCATCCCTGTCTGTGTTCAAGGCCAGGTTAGATGAAGCGTGGGTGACATGGTTTAGTGTGAGGTGTCCCTGCCTATGGCAGGGGGGTTGGAACTAGATGATCTTAAGGTCCTTTCCAACCCTAACCATTCTATGATTCTATGATTCTAAACTGAGTATCATCTTTTGACAGCTGAGTCACATGTACCCTGATGCTGGTTCAAGGCAACTTGGTGCTTCTGAGCCACGGTGCTTCTGATAGGTATCATAATTAGCTTTGCAGTGAGTACTGTATATCCTTTTATCTCTCCTTGGATGTTCAAATATGTTGGAAAATCTGGACTAGCAGGCTGAATTGCCTCCAAACATTGGTAAAACAAAATGAAACAAACAAACAAACAGGAAGAAATAAACCCTGGCACTGAGCTGAGAATGGTGGCACATTAAACATGCTCCATCTCCACCTTCAATTTAAAAATGACCTCACATGGAGCAGCATTTATGCCTTCTTGGCTTTTGTTTCTGGGAGTAGTCATTTGCAGTGACTTCCAGGAAAGATAGTGAGAAACACTGCTTTACCACCAATCCTTTCAGCAAACCCTTTTGATCCTTAAATCTCCACAGCCATTCCACAGCACTTGGGTTGCTTCACCATGGACTCATCCCCATTTTGTCCAGGCACTGTAGCAGTTCTAATTTGAGCTGTCATGAGGTATGCATACGCTATGCAATGAAGTGTGCTGGTATCACTACATTGTATGACAACCTTTAAGATACACTAGCTCAGATCTTGTAGCAATGAAACTATGGGAAAGCAGAAGCCTGTTGGAGTCAATAAACTTCTGTAGCATTTGGATCTTTGCATTGTAATCTACTGCTTATTCTACACATAAGCTTTTTGTTTCTTCTCTTTCTTCCTGACTGTCACTGTTTTTCCCAAGGAGTGGTTTGTCTCCTTAAGAGGTCTTGAGTAGCAGAAATTCTTTATAATTGAAGAAAGGATTACTAATCTACTTCTTACAATTTCCCAGGATTTAATTTTCATTCAAAACAATACTCCCCTTCCTCCAAACAGAAAAAAAATACACAAATGTGACTAGTTTCATCTGTGGAATGATTCTTTGGTGCAAGAAATTATGTCCAGTGCAGTAAATTTCTTACCACTAATTCTCTCATCTCCACAACACTCAGAAATTTATCTCAGCTTCAGTATGTAATTCTTGCTGTCCTTGGGAAAGTAACATCACAGGTAATCAGGAATGTCTCTTCCGTTACTAAAATCTGTTCTCACAACAATGACAACAAGAAAAAAGAAAAAGAGAGAGTACAGAGGAGAAGAGTATAACCTAGATACTGTCTGAGACTAAGTACTTCATGTAAAATGAGTAACATGATCTATCTGCAGATGGGTTGGACTACATGCCCTTTAAAGACTCCTTCCAACCCAAGCTATTCAATGATTCTGTGAAAACACTATGCTGTGTCAGGTCTGGAATGGTCACCACAAATCTTGGGCAAGTGAGACAGTGGGTGAAGTCAGCCTGCCCTGCCTTATGTTCATCAAAATCAGATGTTCATGCTTGTGTTGGGTATCTAGTTGCTGTACTGTTGATGAAGAGAAAAAGCACTCCTGGAATGTGGGTCATCTAATCCTAAAATATGTTGTGTATAAGGTAGGTCATGTGAACCATCATTTGCAGAGGTCTGTTTCACTTCAGGGACTGCAAGACAGCTGAAGGTGACTGATGTTACAGACACTACACATAATATTAAATTGTATGAAGTCTGGTAACGTGAAGTTTAATATCCTAAGTTGTAGCTGAAATAATTGGGTTAGTATGTGGAAAGCTACTAGCTCTTTTGAGTCTCATCAGTAGCAAAGCAAACAGAAGTGAGTTGACTTCTTACCTGGTGTAAAGAAGCAAGATCCCATTAGCAAGGTCCCATTAGCAGTGACCCAAGGTTTCACTTCTCAAGGGGAAGGTGAAGATCTGTTACATTTTACATTTCATTATCTGGAATCAGGTTCCTCTCACCTCGCTATAGCTGCCTTTGTCATCCACACTGCCTTCAATGAGAACTGTTAGCATGGGATTCACTTGACCTATCTTAAAAATCTGCTTAAGGCAGAGATAAGTAGCTCCATAGTTTGTGCTAATTAAACTGACTAGATGCCCATTGATTCTAAGAACAATTTATGGTGATTAATTCCTGTCTAAATGTCCGCATTGTACATTTCAACCATCAGGCAAATGGTGTTCCTAGTCCATGGGGTAGCTGACTGCACTTAATTTATCAAGGTCATAGAGAAAATTTATAGATTGCAAAGATTTATGTAAAAGAGCTGTTATTTTCTTTGGCGCTTCTGCTTCTAACCTGTTTTGCCTCTCACACAGCTGCCATTACTATTCTTCATTGGAGTAACATGGGAGATGCATTAAGGCACCTGGGCACACAGAATGGAACAGGCCACATTACTTCTCCCATTAAAATAGACCTTAGTTCTGGTTGCCCAACGTTGTGCTTTTCTTAGGCACCAGTGGTGCACCATCTGCAGAAAGCACTAAGCATGCGTGAAAATTAAACTGTTTCAACTTAGGTGTCTTCCATGCATTTTGAATGCTCTTATCTCAGGCCTTAGCCAGAAGGAAGGGTGCTTGTGATACTGGGCTTTGTGTTGGAATGTAAAGTGAAGAAAACACTCCATTTTTACTCACCCAGTAAAAAAGAAAAAGGATTCTCTCCCTTCTAACTGCTACTCAAATTTTAGAAAAAGAAAAGGCTAGCACATTTTTTGGCACAGAAACACTTCCAGATTGTGTCTTATTTCTTTGAACTATGCAGGCTAAGATAATGATATAAGGATAATTATATTTCATGTTTGAAACTGAAGTTGATAGGAGAGAAATATCCTTCTGTGTGGAGCTTTTACATCATGTTTAATACATCTGTTATTAGCTGAAGCCAGAAAGACCTATGCATGTATTTAAAGAATACATTTAAGGAATGGAGAATGCAACTAGAATGAAAAAAAAAAACCACCCTTTTTCTCTTTCTATTAGGTAATCTGATATTTCAGTTCCTTGTGGTCAATGGCTCAATGTCCGGCTGGAGACCAGTAACGAGTGGTGTCCCTCAGGGATCGGGGTTGGGACCGGTCTTGTTTAACATCTTCGTCGCTGACATGGACAGTGGGATTGAGTGCGCCCTCAGCAAGTTTGCCGATGACACCAAGCTGTGTGGTTCGGTTGATATGCTGGAGGGAAGGAATGCCATCCAGAGGGACCTTGACACGCTTGTGAGGTGGGCTGATGCCAGCCTTATGAAGTTTAACCATGACAAGTGCAAAGTCCTACATCTGGGTCAGGGCAATCCCAGGCACAGCTACAGGTTGGGCAGAGAAGAGATTCAGAGCAGCCCTGCAGAGAAGGACTTGGGGGTGCTGGTCGATGAGAAAATGAACATGAGCCAGCTGCAGTGTGCACTTGCAGCCCAGAAAGCCAACTGTATCCTGGGCTGCGTCAAAAGGAGCGTGACCAGCAGGTCGAAGGAGGTGATCCTGCCCCTCTACTCTGCTCTTGTGAGACCTCACCTGGAGTACTGTGTGCAGTTCTGGTGTCCTCAACATAAAAAGGACATGGAGCTGTTGGAACAAGTCCAGAGAAGGGCCACGAGGATGATCGGGACTGGAGCACCTCCCATATGAAGACAGGCTGAGAAAGTTGGGGCTGTTCAGCCTGGAGAAGAGAAGGCTGCGTGGAGACCTCATAGCAGCCTTCCAGTATCTGAAGGGGGTCTACAAGGATGCTGGGGATGTACTGTTCATTAGAGACTGTACTGAAAGGACAAGGGGTAATGTTTTAAAACTTAAACAGGGGAAGTTTAGATTGGATATAAGGAGGAAATTCTTTCCTGTTAGGGTGGTGAGGCACTGGAATGGGTTGCCCAGGGAGGTTGTGAATGCTCCATCCCTGGCAGTGTTCAAGGCCAGGTTGGACGAGGCCTTGGGTGATATGATTTAGCATGAGGTGTCCCTGCCTATGGCAGGGGGGTTGGAACTAGGTGATCTTAAGGTCCTTTCCAACCCTAACTGTTCTATGATTCTATGATTCTATGACATATCCCATGCTGACCATCAGTGTACCAGAAAGCAAATTCACCAGCAGCTTCAAAACATGCAGATTCCAGAAAAAGGTAATGGCAAGATTATCTTTAGCCCAAAGAACCCATCAGTAGTCTGCAAAAGTCTTACCAAGGGGGAAAAAAAATAAAAAAAGCTTCAAGAAAAATAGAGAAGCCTTCTTTAGAAACAGCCTCACCAAAATGGAAAGAAAATGCAATGGTTTAGGCTGCTGCTCTAATCATGCAGTTCTGTGTGAGGAAAAGAGCTTAGGATTTAGAATCGAGAGGCTATTTCTTGAGGGGTTCTAAGCTTTGTCACTGAGGGGGACAATGGAAGGGCTGTCTATAGGTAGGCTATGTTTCTCTACAACCCCTGCCACTATTCAGGAAGCTGAAATGATGTAGTGAGGGCAACTTCAAAGTTAGTTTTTAGACAGATGGTTGCAAAGGACCTGGGTTGCCCCTCTTTTAGGTTTTGTACAGTTTAAAACCATACAGAGTGAACTTAGAACGTGTAATTGAAAAAATATGAATAAGGAAACTTTTTGGAACTTTGGAAGAACACTTCTACTGAGGGCTTTTGTTGCTGGGAATGGAGCTGGAGAAACAGCACTCCAATAATGCAATAGTGAGCAGTAAGACTTGGTTGGCATTTGGCCTTCTGCTGGGACATGAAGCAGCAGGACTTCTGCACGACAGCTGGCAGGATAAGACTAGCACAATGCCTACTGAAATAAATGAAAACCATCTCATGAAAGTGAAGATAGGTGGTGGATGGAGATCTATTGTGCTGCACCTAAAATATCTGAGAGATGAATCCTTCCTCTTTTGTCTTGTTTCACCTGTAATGCTCTTGGTGCAGATGCTTTCATAACGGGTGACTAAAATGACATTGAAAGTCTTATGTTACCAAATTAATTCCTTTGGAAGGGGAAGGAATTCCTTTGTGGCCTTCCTCCACTCTCCAGAACAGATTTTGTAAAATTCTGGATATTTTGTTATTCATATTATCAATTAAACTTACAGAATCAGTGGATAACTTACTCTCTTTTTTTTTCCTGTCACTGGATAATTTTCATACTTTACATTTAAATCACAGTGAGGTCTTGAAGCTGTGGTAAATAAATGAATAGCTAGCTATAATTTTGGGGTTAGTTCCAAATTTTTGATAGGTAAAGAGGGATGGAATATCAGTATCACCAGACACTGGTAAGAGCAACTCTTTCACACTATTAGGGTAAGAAAGCAATGAGGAACATAAAATTATGCTGTTTGGAAAGGAGCTGGGGCAGCATCTGACGAGGTATCTGACAAAGCAGCCTGCTTGTATGTCTCTTGCTGTACACAACACGAAGCTGAGCACTGGCAGAAACTCTTTCAGTGAAAGGATGTTATAAGGTCCCCCTTTCCTCTGTGACTGACAACGTGACTGTAGCTGACTGATTAGTGAAATTGCTGTTCATCATTTTCAGTTGTGTTTTGCTTTGTTGTTAGAGAACGGCATAATAATTCATGATGAAACCATATAGGCTACAATAAAAAAGCCCCACAAAACAAAAACCTTTGCTAAGCAGTTGGTATTCAGTTCTCTGACAGGCAGAATTTAGAATAAAAGGTTACTAACATTTTGGCAGTGTTTTCCTCAGGCTTTCTCTTGTATTTCTGCCAAATATCTCACAAGGCTCAGATTTGATTAAAATGGCAATGCTCTCTCTCCTACTTGAATGTAATTAGAGCCATTCATTACAGCTTTAGTTGACAATTTGGCAACCTGTACATTTTTCTGAATATGGACAGCATTCCATGGAAACAGTTCAAGGGAGGAGTTGAAGAAGAGGGTCCCCTCTTGAACTGCAGCAAATGGAAAGCTGTCTATGTTTAGAGAAGTTTACGGGTTTCCAAACTGTCAATTGAAGCTGCAAAGAAAAGGTTCAATTAGATTAATGTAGCAGAGCACCGCATTTTTTGTCAGGCAGCTCATGAAAGCTCCTGCTACATAGTTATCACGTACCCTGTAGGATCATTAAGTATTTCTATTGCAAGTCACTCTCTTTTGCTGCTATTCACCACAGTCTTAGAGCACTGTTGAATGGAAAGTAAATCAAGAAAATGTGTTTGCCTATGTAAACCTATTCTCAGGCCAGTTTTTTGCAGACTTTAGCAGAAGATTTTTAATCTGCTTGAATTTCCCACCCTTTATAGTTTATGTAAAATAAAACACGGCTCCAATAAAGTCAGAGCAATCCTGGGCTTCTTTCAGGTTCCTAATGAATTATATCTTTCAACTTAAAATGTTAAGTCAATTATTGTTACTTTCATTTTCCATTCTTCTGTGCTGTGCCCAGGAACTGCTAAAATATTGCAAGAAGTGCCATTTTTAAGCATCGCCCAAATCATCTGAAAATATACATCCCATTGATTACAATCATTTTTTTCTTGTGATTAAAAGAGGAAAGGCTTAGTCCAAAATCTGATGAGAGCAGCTCTTTGTTTTCCCTGTGGCTCATCACTGTTGAAAGGGAAAAGGAAGAGTGCAGTTTAATGGATGGGGCAATCTGTAGTTCAGTTTTGCGTTGCTTGTTGCTGGGCTACTTCACTATGTGAAACAGGGGATGATAGCCTCATTGCCCTTTTGGTTTCATAGCAGACTGAATACCCAGGCTTTTCAGGAGAATAGGTGCATCTGGATGAAAAATGGGTTTGAAGCTGGGATAGTCTTGAGATCATTTGTGTGTTTGCAGAATTGTACACAAAGCCCAGTTCCTCTTAACAGCAATAGGAACATGCAGATCACAAGCTTTTGCTAAAGTCTTCCACCAGACAGTTCAGCCATGTGCCAGAGAAACATCTATCTCTTTCTGCCTCAATTCCTTCATCCTTTGACATTTAACTGCTTTCCTCATTCCCAACCTTGTTAGATATTCCTGAATCCAGAATCTCAGAAAACCTCTTAACTCTGTGTGGAGCCATGGCTTTGGGCTGGACAGTTAGAAATGATTCTGCTTTGCAGTAGTATGAGTTGTAGTGTTTCAGGACACAGAAGGCACCAGGAAGATGTCATATTCCTGATCCTGAATGACTACTGAGCCACCTCCCTTTCCTACCAGGTCAGCTGAAGGTTCCATGAGCTTGATGACATTACTTTTGCAATATCAGTGATGACCATTGAGGTAGTTACTTGCTGCGTCTGTTCTATTTGTTTTCTCTTAAGCCTAGTGCATCTTTATACTACGTTATGTTGAATTCATTAGATAAGGAATCAAAGGAAGCAAAGGCAAACAACATCCTTGCTGCCAGTGCAAGCATTCTTGTAGTATGTAATTATACTGCTAACAGCTGATGCCACACAGAACTGATGTAGCTGTAGTAGTACTGATTTTACTGTGTTTGAGTAAATTCGTACCTTTAAGTAAAACAACTACATTGGTAGAAGACCAGCAGACATTTATTGCCTCTTCTAATGGTGTCCATCAGACATACTTCTTAAATCCAGCCTAACACTATGAAGCCTGAGGCCATGACATGATTCCCAAGACATCCAGTGCCAAACATACATGAAGTCAGGGGAGCAAATTAACACAGTAAGAACAAATGTTTACTTATTTATGTAGTATTCTACCTATCACAGCTTTTCAGCTCATCATTGCAAATCCATTTTATTCCCTTCCCATTCTTCTTGGAACTTCCCATTCTGTATGTGATGATCTTTCTTTTCCAACAGAATGGAAAGAATGTCTTTCAGATGCTGTTGTTTGGCTTGGAACAGGGCCTCACAGGTGATACCCGCTCAAGTGATTCTAAC